CAATTGTTTTTGTTATTCAATTTAGACAAGAAAGATGGATACTGCGAAAATTCGAGTGATTTTTGAATACGAGTTCCGACGCGGAACTAACGCGGCAGAAACAGCCCGCAATATCAATGCTGCGTTTGGAGAGGGGTCTACTAATGAACGCACCGTGCGATTTTGGTTTAAACGCTTTCGTGATGGAAATTTCGACTTAAAGAACGAGCCACGAGGAAGACCGCCCACACAGGTGAATAACGATGAATTAAGAGAGATAGTGGAAGCCGATCCTAGTCAAACTACCCAGGAATTAGCGGCATGGTTTAACGTTACCTTACCCACAATATTGACTCACTTGCGTCAAATCAATAAAATAAAAAAATACGAAAAATGGGTGCCTCATGATTTGACTGATCTGCAGAAAGAAACGCGTGTTGAAACTTGTGTTGCCTTGTTGAACCGGTACAGAAATGAAGGAATATTGGATCGAATTGTAACATGTGATGAAAAGTGGATTCTTTATGATAACCGGAAAAGAAAAATGCAATGGCTGACCCCAGGTCAAATGCCACAACAGTGTCCTAAAGCAAAACTTACCAATAAAAAGATAATGGTAACTGTTTGGTGGTCTCAGCATGGTGTTATTCACTATAGTTTTCTCCGATCTGGTCAAGCAATAACGGCAGATGTCTATTGTGCCGAACTCCGAACCATGTTGACAAAACTAGCAGTAAAACAGCCCCGACTCATGAATCGATCTTCACCATTATTGCTCCATGACAACGCGAGACCTCACACAGCACGAGAAACCATTTTGACCCTTCAGGAACTGCAGTTAGAAACCATTCGTCATCCTCCGTATTCACCAGACCTTGCTCCAACGGACTACCATTTTTTTCGTGATTTGGACAATTATCTACGTGACAAGAAGTTTTCTTCCCAGGAGGCAGTACAAAATGCTTTCACACAGTTTGTGCAGTCTAGATCGTCGGAGTTCTATCGCAAAGGCATTAATAACCTTCCCAATAATGGCAACTATTTTGATTAAATAAATTTGTTAAAAATTTAAAAAATAAACAATTTAGATTTTCAGTACAAATCGGCAATTTCATACTTTAACCCCTATTATTTGTTCAGTTGAATCGAATGGCGCGATTGGTTGCCACAAATTGTACGGCAATTAAGCAGGTGAAACTGATATCGTGATCAAAGTATACACATTGAAAGTCATACCAGTTTCCACTACCAACCGACCACGCTATCAGAGTATACATACCCCTATAAAGTATGTAGGTATCTAATAATAGCAGCGTTGTTATAAACTAAGAAAATCATAAATTCATAATCAATGAGACATTATTGAGTTAGGCCGACAATACTCTTTTTTGAGACAGCGAAGATAAATATTAGTTTTCTTGTGTAAGTACAAACTTTTTTGCTACAAAACCATAATCATGGGATAATAAAGTAAAATTGTGACAATGACATTATCAAATTATTGCAAAATAAACGAACTAAATGTCTGTAAATTTAAAAGAATGAATTTTAGCACTGAATCTTATAATTCTACTAATTTTAAGTACGAATAAAATAAAATAACAACTAGTGCCATGTAAATAACATTCCAAAATCATTCCTAGCACTTTTCACAGTTCATGCTGTTAAACATCGAATGTATCCTGGGCTGCGTTTTACAGTGATTCTATGAAATCGGATAAAAATCTGTTCTTTCAGTGTTTTCAACCGTAAAATGTGCTATAATATTTGTGACATATGCTCAGAAGTACAAGTTTTGTAAGTAAATAAATAATAAAACCTATTACGTCACGTATGTACGACAACTTTAAAGCAAGTGCTTGTATGAGATTAGGGATGTTCGAGCTCGATTTTAATATCGATGACGACGAATTATCGTAATTTTTTGAAATGAAATTAATTTAATTAGACAAAATATTCAACTAAACTATCAGTGCCAATTTGCTATTTGAAAGTAACTCTCTACGTTCCTGGATTTCCACTGCACCCTTCGGTTACACCCTAGTACGTTTTATGAATTTTATTTAAGAGTGTATTCGGTTAAATGTATACACCGTTCAGCTGCTTTGTGCACCACTAACTGCCCTTAACTATAACTCCGTAATAATTTGTAGGGTTGCCTGGAAGAGATCGCTATCTAGCGATAAGATTGTACCTTTAACTATGTTCTATATTGTCACTGTTTTTGTTTTGTGTGCAATAAAGCTTATTCTATTCTCTTCTTTTTTTTAAATTTATTTATTCATGGAAAACCAACAGTTTCTTACATTTAAAAAAAAAGGAAAATAACCATAAAGCCAATTGCAGGTTTCTACCTATAGCTTCAGACAAATCATGCACGTGCATTGAACAAACGAACAATTAACAGTATTCCTTCATAACGTGCACTTACCTAAATACAACAACCCAATACCTACGCTAATCAGAAATTATCCAATAAACTTAAACTCTAAAGCAGATTATTGCATTTGTATCCATATAAACGCGCGTAAAACGCGAAATGGACGCGCGCGAGAAGCGCGTTCGAAGCTCGTCTGTACCGCGCCGCCCAAACCCCCTCGAGTACCCCACCGTTGCTCTGCGCAAGTACAGCCCCCATTTTTGAACACTAATTTCGATTTTAATGACTCTCTCTACCGACCTTTAGGGTATACGAAAAGGGCACCATAACCTATGCGGGCACAGAAACCTCATAAGTTCAGATTCTGACGCCAGTGATGTACAGGGTTGTCACAGACCTATGTCACTGGACTTCGTCCGGTTCTCGAGAGGCAGTGCCTCGGGTGAGCCCCGCCCCGGGCGCACGTCCAGTACCCTCCCTGTTTTCCAGATAAGTACCGGAGTTGTAGGCAAGCTCACTTCCCGTTGCGCATTACACAACTAGCGGTTGCCACCGCTAAGCCGTCGACTCTGAGTCCACTACCAAATCTCCTCATTGGTGACGGAGCGGTAAGGCAAGCTCACTTCCCGACGCCGAAAAACGACTTCTTTCCAGTTCCCAACAACCTAAGCGGGATCGGAGGATATCTAGCTTATCCTCTACTAGCTCTCCGGGCTAGTGCCGGAGATGCCAGTCGCAGTGTCCGGCGACAATGTCCGAGCATAGCTTTCAACTTAAAGGGCAGCTTACGTGCTCCCGCGCGTCTCCTCGCTTTAGACCCTCAACTAGACGGCTAATAAGACGCGCTAGCTGCGCACGAGACAGACGCCCCGGCCACTTGCAACCGGGGCAGACAAACAAGTCCGTCTCTGCAGCCACCAGTCCACCAGGGACATAAAGGATCACTGGCGGAAGGCTAGTGTCTTGTCATCGAGCCCGTAGTCTCTCCGGAAAATCCTATCTGTCGTCGGGTCGGTATATAGGGACAAGTAAAGTTACAAGTCTGTGCAAGTACAGATCGATTTGACACAGACTGTAATTTCTATTGAATTATACACCAAAATACTCACTGCGCCGCACTACATCTGTCTTCTCAATTTTCTTAACGGTCGTTTCGTCAATTATTCCGTTTCTTTTATTTTTCTCCTTACTTGGGTTGTTAGGATGCCTTCCAAGAAACGTATATCGTTCTTTAATTTTTTTTAATTCATCGTGATTAAACGGTCGCCGGTCTGGTGATACATTTGGCGTTCTTTTCAAGTTTTTCGTTTTCTCTCTAGCTTTTGATATCGTTGATGTGTAGTTTTCGACGTGTTTCACTGTGGATTGTTAACAATTCATTACAAATCAAATTAATATTTTTTTTTTAAATCAAAATTTAATTTATTACAAACAGTTTAATCTTACAAAAGTTACACAAGTTTCCCGGCTATGCCACACGGAGGCAAAGCACTTTAAATACCGTAGATAGAAAATTTTACTAAATGAAGACAACATTTTGATTGTAAAAACAATTGGAACTGCATTCAATGATTTTTAGATAATCGCATATCTGAACGGGGAATCGAACCCTCCAAATATGAAAAAAAACCTGTTATTTTACCATACTGCTCGACAGCCTCAATAATAAAGATGGTTTTCTTCTAAATAACATAGCATCTTAACTAAAAGGAAAAAGTTCATACCCCTACCAGGAATCGAACCCGGGACCTTCTCATCCTGTGTCCACAGTGCAAACTGCCACCGAGGTCGTCTATAATTCTAATATTATTGAACACTGAAATGGCTTAACCGAAACAGACCAAATAGAATATTTAACGCGTTCAATGGTTTCCACCCACGTTTTCGTGCAGAGATAGCTTAAGAGCTCTCATGCCAAAAAAGTTTTGACGTTGGCTCCGCCCAAATTTGTGAAACAAATATATGCCTGAAGTTCGCGTGACATGCGACAGGAGATGTTGAATTTGCGCATTAAAAGTATCAAATTCTTTTAGCGGAATAACTCTAAAACTAAAGGGATTATAAAGAAATCCGTAGTGACAGTTGTCGATCATGCATAAATATAATTCATTATCTAATTTTTGTCCTAATGTCTATCGAGGAAACTTTCTTGTTTTATGTTTCTGATTAATGTCTATGCTTGAATATATCGTGTAGTTACTCATACGATATTATATTTTTAAATTTAAAGTGGATATACCCCTCTAAAATCAAATCGAAGATTAGGAATTTTTCCTCTGCTCCCTCTTAAAGCCGGTCGCTTTGAGTTACAACTCGGGCGAACGGTTAGAAATTCTAAACCATTATTCATCTCTGTCTACAATAGATACCTTCAATATATTGCTGGTTGTTCGTTTGTTTTTTCTGTAGGTGTGTTTCACGTTTATGATCGCCTTCTTCTTGCTGAAACAAATTTTGTTTTCATTGTTTTATTTTGTGATTTACTGTTCTCATCTCCTAAGCGCCCAGTTACACGAGAAGAAAGTTTTCACGCGGCGACCGCCTAGTTACCTTCATGTACATTAATGGCGAATATGAATTCTATCTATTATACAACAACATTTAAATTCCTCTCAATAAAATTACCGCGCGGCCGCCGCGTTAACCAGATACAAGCCAGTCTCGCCCGCGTGCCCAGAACGCTCATTTAAATTGAAACGTAAAGGCTAGACAACTAGAGCGTATTTTGCCATTACATTTAGACGCACACAGTTAGAGATACGCAACGCGGACTCCACCCTTCGACCGGGGTGAGCGCGATAAAAATCGTGTCCAATAAATGCGCCCTAACGTTTATTCTGGACCTCTGTTCTTCAGTCATAGTATTTTTGATTTGTGACCATACGCTCCACTTTCAGATGGTAGGAAAGCGGGCACTATAACACTGGATTTAAAAGAAATTGGTTTTAGTTAAATTATTATTGAACGGATATTCAATTATTTTTAGTGAAATTACTCCATTAGTTTGTTTTCAAACAAACCGTGCCAGACGCTGTGCCAACTAAGCCACGGAAGGAACCAGCGGACCTCACGAATTTTTCCATGTGCTTGTTGTCGGATCTTTGTTGATTTGGTTTTCAACGACTTTCAGCCGTAGCGCCATCTATGTGAAATCTATGAAAGTATTTCGTCACCCAGTTAGACACCTTTACAACTACCAGCCCTGGCTGGAGATGTCGCTATTCATTGTATTTGAATTTTTGTTGAATTGATATTCAATTATTTTTATGTGTTATTACTCCACTAGTTTGTTACAATTGTCATGATTTGTGTTAAAACGGGCGCATTATTAACTTTTATATTTAACGCTATATTAAATAATATTAAAAGACAATAACTCTTGTGTTTTATACCGAATTATAATAAATTTTCTTTCTTGACCTTCAATATCAGATTTTATAAAAAATCTTTGATTGCGAACTGTTATATCGTTAATTTTCATTTCTGAACATTTACCGTCATGTTAATTTGCAATTGTAATTTTCGTATGTTATTGATTTTTTGTTAGTTTAAATGTATGTAAAAGATTGTAGCTGAAATCGAAAAAAAAAAAGGAAATGTGTTGTTGCGCTCATGGCGATAGTGGAGCCATCTTCATCGGAAACTAAGAATATTAACCTGTCATTGTGTTAAATTAGAGGTGTTTTAAAAAAATATAATTTGTTTAAAAACGTACTACGGTTAATTATTTTGTATTTTATTAATCAATAACTCTTGGGTTTTGTACCGAATTATAATAAAAAGTTGTTTAGTTGATAATGTCCTTCAATAATGGATTCCATAAATATATTCGATGCGTACTATTTAATTGTTAAGTTTCGTCAAAGAACATTTTACTGTCATGTTAATTCGCAATTGTAATTGTGTCGTTGGATTTATCTTGAAATGACTGGTTTAAATTTTCGTAAAAGATTGTAGCTGAAGCCGAGAAACGGGAAAGATGTTTCGCGCGCATGGTGATTGAGGAGCCATCTGTAACGTAGAATATAAAAAGATATTAAGTAGCGCGTGCTGGTATTCTGTTCCGGTTTTTCGACAAATTGAGACATAGTGTTCTGTGATAAAGACCAAATAATGTTTGTGCTCTAATTATGTCCGGGCGACCGAAAAAAGCCTTTTTAAAAATATAATTTATTTAATTAAGAGAATACAGGTTTGTACTAATGCCACGACAAGTCTGCTCTTCGAATTATAAAATAAATATTGTGTTAAGTTGCTAATTGCATCGGTTGCATTTGCGACAGCGCTGAGTCGGGGGTTTTCCTGGAATACGATGTGTTAACTCTCTTAGAGATAAAAGTAAAAGTGAATACATAACGTTAGAATAACTACTCATGGATATTTAATTTATTATACAATTATTACGTCTTTTAGCAGACCGTGGCAATTGCTATGCCAACATAGCCACGGACCATTGTTTTGGTGTTTGTTTCGGATAGACATAAAGGACATAAGGAAGATGCACCTAAATTTGACTGGAGTGGTATCTGACCAAAACATATTCGGGAAACGCATTAAATTACACCAAGTAAAAAAAAATATATCGTATTTTTATAACTCCTGTAGCCTTGGTAAATGAATATTTTTCAAGTTAATTTTCTTGGAAACTATCGCCTGCGGAGTCCAGTCTCCACGTTCCCCCTTTCGTACAGTCCAACAGTAGATAGCCAACATACTTCAGTTAGCTTAGTCAGGGTGTGAAAGACGTATGAAAACTGAATGTGGCCTGCGCGTAAGCCTTAAATACGTCATGATACTTGAGTAAATTTTTGCAGATGCTAATATGTTACCTGATATGTGTCTTTGCCGAGATACGGAAGACACTTCGTTTGCTGCTCCGAGTAACACACAGCGGTCCGAGCGGCCATTGCGAATAAAATAAAAGAAATTTAATACTGAAAAATTTAATAAACACTAAAAATTTTGCATTGCGACCCGATTGCAAAGTTGAAATGTCACTGTCAGAATTTGAGAAAAACGAGTATGACATTTGTGATGGCTAATGTATGTCGCAAAAAAGATTTTAATTCAAATTGGGCAGATCTAAATGTTACACACTTGCGAGCTTTAGCAGCGATGCAGTGTGATGCAAACTAGCAATAAATAAATAGTAAATACTTTATTTTAGTTTTAAATTTACAATTAATAAAACAAAATAATATAAACAACAATGCATAAACCTATACACGTTGTTATACGTGGCACGGCTTCATTACTCCACAAAGTCTGCCGATATTGTGGAGTATATATGGGTGAAAGCGAATGCTACCCTGAGGGTCGAGCAGTTGGTGTCCCGCCACAATGTAAATTTTAATTCATTTGTGGTGAGAGTACCAACTTAACATCTGTCGACCTTCATGGAGGATAAGTTTTGGCCGAAGCGTGTCATGTACCGACGTTTCCGAGGCCGGCTATCGGACACCCACGTTGCGTCACACGTCGCAGACAATACGTGTAAATAATAGACAGTAGTGTTTTTATTGTATTATTATGTATGTTAGTGTATAAGGTATGTATTTATGGGTCTTTGTTGCCTGCATTCAAATAAATAAATAAAAAAAATATGCATATTTTTTTGTGCATAAATAATTCAACATAAGCGACTGCATTCGATGCAATTGTCGAAAAATCGGAAGTGTAGCAAAATTGCCATGGAAATTAGGTAGTGAATACTAATCCGAGAAGGACAGACAGAATCTCCTTCTTTTTTGAAGTCGGTTAAAACGAAACTAAAGCTAACATTTCATCCCAACTAATATTTTAAATGCAAAAGTAACTTCTATCTATTACGTTTTCATGCTTAAACCACTGATGCACAGAACCAATTTCGAGAAATTTTGATATTATAGATGGGACCTAGAACAAGGACATAGGATACTTTTTATCACAATGTGATATAGGGAATGAAAGTTTGTATGGAGAACCAATAAAACTAGTACAGTCCAGTAGGGTATTTGAAGTACTTACCTTACTAATCCTGGGCACCAGCTTGTGAAATGTAAGTAAGTTGTCCAGCTTCCAAAGTACATTACCTAAACCAATGATTTTTTTATATCAACTGAACTGAATAGATCACGTACCTATAGTATACGACATATATTTTTCAAATGGGTTCGATTTCGAGAGAATAGAATATAAATTCTGAAATAAAGCCCTGTCCCTGCCACTCGACCCACCGTATTAGTACGGGAAACATTTGAATTGGAGCTGAGGGAGTATCAACTCTTAAATAGTGGACACTAGTCCGAGCATGACAGTTGATTTTATATGTATAAAAAATAACTGCGCATTTGACCTCCATCTCACCTGATGGAAAACGATAATGAGGTCGACGGTAGCATGCACACCTAAATAATACCTATTCAATCTCGCCTTAAAAAGGTCCAGGTTATAGGGAACAAGTCTGCAGGCAGGGAGTTCCACTCCCTAGCCGCTTGCCATATAAATGTGTATGCGAAACGGTTCGTGCGACTCCTGGGAATATTCACAACATATGGGTGGAACCCCAGCCCACGTCTAGTCCTCCAATGATGAAAAGGGGAAGGCAGAATCAAATTACGCTATTCCATCGCACACTCTCCGTGGTTTAGGTATCCTGTAGAATACCGAAAATCTGGCAATTCTATGGCTTTTGCTCGGACAATTGTGAACCAATTCCGAGTGGTTCCATTTTAATTTGAAAAAAATATGTTACCTCCAAGAAAGGCAAATTAGGGCATGACTCATCCCATGGTTTATTAAATTGCACCTAATTTCCGTTAACCGATTTCAATAAAACTTGGTAAATAGTAGCTTTAGAGCTCGTTGTGAAAGAGCTCGTCCAGGGAAGTACGGCCACCTTATCTATTTCTGCCGGTAAGCAGTAATGTCAGCATTACTGTGTTCCGGTTTTGAAATTACAGGCACATGGAACTTGTCAACTTATGTCTCAGGGTGACGGGTCCAGTGGCAGTACACCTCAGATATTTGCGATTTAAAGCTCTGAGTGGCACTGCAACTGTTATGGACAGGCGTGTAGCTTACCATCAGGCGTACGACTTGTTCGCGCCGTCACTTGATATTATAAAAAAAAAATGTAATTCCACAAATTTTTGAGGATTATAATTATAACTTTGAATAAGCTTTGAAGTATTCAATCTTAATATGAAAACTTATTACTTTAAATTTAAAGCATCAGAACAAAGCAACCCAATAAATAAAAAAAATATATAAGTACGTGAAAACAAAAACCAATGGCATTGTCAAAAATTTGCAATTGCTGCTATTTTCAAAATTTTTTCGTTTCTTTTAAACTGAACTAAAATATAAAAAACAAACCTTGAATTGAGGGAAAAAAATTGCAAAAAAAGAAAAAGACTTAAATCGAAAATGAAATTATCGGTATTTTGGAACTAAATGGTCCAAAATAATGGATCAAGTAGGTCCTTACAAGTCGGTGATAAAATCCAAGTCTTCCAATACTGCTATGGCCACTAACGGTTCCAGAAATACGACAAGGTACTTATTAGCATAATGCCTATGCCGTCGCCTTACTTTCTTAAACTCGTATCTTAAAGTACATAGGTACTGAAATGTAAAAAATGGATTGTTTAAACAAATTTTTCACACACTGTGAAATGCATTAAAATTAACACCCTTCTTAAGAAAGTTAAAATAAATAGAAAGTTTTGCCATCTCCTATAAAATACGAGTTTGAGACAGTAAGGCATCGAAAATGGGCTATATATATAGCTATAGCAAATTCCTCGTACTATAGGTATCAGAGCAATTGATTTTTAGCGAGATTGAGTTGGTTAACAAGTGTTGTAACTCAAAATATGTGAAATTTAATATTATATCATTACTGAACGTAAAATTTGATTCTCTACACGTCAAAAAAACCGTCGTTAGAATATTGTAAGAAATAATCAAAAGATATCCACTTACTCAAAATGAGACACACTTTATATGAGTTAGTTCTGGCCAAAATAATCCTTATTCAAAAATATTACATTATTTTTTCCATTTCATTTTTAAATATATTTGAGACATTGTTTAAGTGTCTATAATAAACGGGAAGTGAATAATTCGTTTTTCATGGATTCTTTTTTTTTATAATAACAAGACCATATTTTAAGATAATACACTATTACCGAGTTCTTAGGTTTTCGCGATTGTTACACATAGGAAATGAAACTATTTTTCCGGATTTAAAGTTAACCGTGACCATGGGACCTGTAAAGGACCCGAAACGTCGGTTTGTTTGAAAAAACAAATATACGCGATTTAAATCCGGAAAAATAGTTTCATTTCCTATAATACACTATTGTATGAACAGTGCGATATGTTAACGAACGTCGGGGATATTGCAAACCCACGTATGTAGTATTGGAAAAACGTAGAGATGCCAACAATATTCGGCCACAATTCGGTATTCGGCCTATTAGGACACTTTTTTTAATATTCGGTATACGGCAGAATACTAGGACTATTCGGCCGAATACCGAATATCAAATAATGAAAAAAGCATATCGACTTTGCACTGGCAATCGGTACTATCTCAGTTTTTAAATATTTTTATTACACATGTATGTATTTACGCTACGTATTTTTATTTAATAAACCAGATACTATATAAATGACTCTAAACAATTTGTTTTTCACCTGTAAAGTTGTGAAAATTGAAACAGTACCGGTTGCCAGTTCACAGTCGATATGTTATTCAAAATGTATTATGTAGTAATTTAATCACAAATTTTTCCTTTAATACTTAAAATCAATCAGTGGCAGGTTGTGATGAATGAAAACTATTTTTTCAGCATTGGTTGGTAACAAACGATTGCGCTTTTCCTCATAAGCAATTCCTGCTTCTGAAAATAGCCTCTCACTCTAAACACTACTGCCAGGAGACGATAGATAAATCTTAGACAATTTTGACAGGCTGCTTTGCGTTTGCTGACCACCACTTGTAAGGATCTGCCGTCCGATCTAGGCGAACAGTTTTCAAAGAAAAATCAATCTCGTGTGCAATAGAACTTTTCTCCACATCCTCATCATTTTGCATATTATCTGTAGCGACTTCTTCAAAACAGGCCCAGAAACTGTCATGTATTGATTCTATTGTTTTAGCATTTTACAAGACCCTACCCCCGTTACCTTCGCAAGCAGCGCAATGAGACAGGTCGTAACAGGTCACGCGTGAAATGAACAGATCTTACGCCGAGAGCGTGGCCAAATATTCGGTATTCGGCCAAATCACTAATCGTGGCATCTCTAGTAAAAAGCGCGAATCTGCACTAATCCGAATTTCACAAGAGAGGGATTAACGTTATTACTTTTTTATTTTAATGGCTACGACATTCATTTTTGCACAGTAAATATTAATTTATGTTGTCTACGGACTGATAACAATAGATTACCGCAAATCACGCTAATTTGATTGCCATCACATTTGCGCGAATTTGGTCACTAAATTACCGAAATGGAAACAAATAATCAAATCCTAGCCACACGTAATTACACTATCCCCATCGATATCGCACAGCACACAGAGTTGTAACTCAAAATACGTGAAATTTAATATTGTAAAATTAGTGAATATAAAATTTGATTATCTACATGTCAATAAAACTATTGTTAGAATATCGAGTTCTTAGGTTTCCGCTATTGTTACACATAGGAATTGTAACTATTTTTCCGGATTTAAATCGCGTACATTTGTTTTTTCAAACAAACCAACGTTTCGGGCCCTTTACAGGGCTCATGGTCAGTCAACCGTCACCGTTCATTTCCTATTGTCAGAAACAATTAAAAGATATCTACCTAACTCAATTAACTCAAAAATATGAAATTGTTTTTTACCTTTTATTTTTAAATATTTGGCAAATCCTAACCTATAGGTGCATAAATTGTATAATTATAAACAACTGCCTCCGTGGCCGAACGGTTACCATGCCGGACTGCCACGCAGAGGTCCCAGGTTCGATTCCCGGGCCGGGAGAAACATTTGTATGACCTACATTTATTTCTCTCGTGAGTTTGGGTGTAATTTGTGGTTGTCTATGTGTGTGTCCATGGCACCCGCGACACAGGGTTTCCCTAGTGCGGGGCTATGTTGAGTGTGTGCGTTATTATTATTATTATTAATTTTTCATGGAATAATTTGTTTTTCATCGATTCTGAAAACTTCGAGTTAATACACTATCGTATTAACAGTGCAATATTTGGAATCAGAGAAACAAGACATATAATCCCGTATAGCGGTTTTTTATATCTCTTTTTTTATTTAATAATTGATGGTACAGGAAAACACAATTACATTTAGTAAAACGGAAAATACAAATAAAAGGAGTACCTTTTAGAAGGAAAAAACTTCTTTTAGAAATAAGCAGTAGCTTATTTCTAAAAGAAATTTCTTCCTGCAGACCAAAATATAGGGCACAATAATTACAATAAAGGATTTGCGTGCACAACAAAACGAAATTAAATTATATAATAAAATAATAAAAAAAAGCAATAGCAAAAATATTAAATCACTACAGACTATACAGGTTGATAAAAAAACCACTGACCATTGTAAAGGAGCATACTGTATAATGAAAATAAAAGTACATATCGGGTTTTTTTTTTCAAATACTTAATAAATTAAGTTATGATGTCTCAAAGTTTTCCGAAAAATTGTGAACAGTATTGACACCCGATGATTAACAGACGCCGTTGCCATAGCAACAAAAACTGTGTGAGCGAAGTCAGCGCGCGAAATATATGATAGACAACAAACTATCAAACTGACGCGCAATGCGTTGGCTTAGGTTTGTCGCTTGACATCTCGGCGCCGATCGCTCAATTTTATTTACTATTTTGAGGTAACCACGCATCAGAAATTATTGGGAAATATTAACATAAAAAAAATGGGGAAATTTGTTTTTTGTTTTATTTCACTAATGTGTTCTATTACTGAATCTTATGCACAGGAAAAAAAAATGGTCGTGATTTTTTTATCAGGAAATACGTATTTATCGTAAGTCTTTATACAGGTATAAATACTTAGATAAATACGTAGATCATATTATAATATCTATAAAATGGATGAAACAGAGGATAAATAGTGTTCCTTGACTCACATTTTAAAGATAGCTAAGGATTTACTACCATGAACAGTAATGGGACGTGCGTTCCAAAGTCTGACCTCATGAACAATAAAGGAGATTAAAAACCTTATTTGAACTTCTTTAGTTTCCGTCTTATTATTATGCAAAATTAGCGTAAATTATAGTTTTTACTAGTAAAAACAACTTTAGGCGGCCATATCTGGAAACCAACTCAAATGCGTTGCAAATGCAGTAATGTCAGCATGCGACTTGTCAACTTATGTCTCAGGGTAAAAGGCGCAGTAGCAATTTGCAATTTAAAGCTCTGAGTGGCACTGTAACTGTTATGGATAGTCCTGTAGCTTACCATCAGGCGCTCGGCTTGTTCGTCCCGTCGCTTGATGTTATAAAAACAAAACTACAAGGAGGGCAGAACACCCAGGCTGATCCTATTGGAAAGGCAGGGACTTTCTCATCTAAGTAGGACCTCTACCTTTCTACAGCGTTTCGGCGTGCAATGTGAACAAAGAATTGTAGAATGCGGAGCAAACAGACTGAAGGAAAGTACCTGCGATTATTCTTTATTAACCGACTTTAAAAAAAGGAGGAGGTTCTGAATTCGTCTGTTTCTTTATTTCCTTTTTTTTTGTATGTACATATGTTACGCCATAACTCCGGCGTTTGGGAACCGATTTTGGTGATTCGTTTTTGTTGGGAAGAGGGCACCTCTCACACTCTAATGATGGCACACTAGGGCATGAATTCCGGTAACCGATTTCAATAAAACTTTGCAAATAGATGTAATTCCACGGGTTTTTGTGGTCGGTTTTTTTAGTACTCTGTACTGAAATTATTAATTTACCTATCTCTTCTGCAGTAATACCCCACGGCGCTTGGTTAACCCCAACAAGCACAAGACTTGGAGCAGTGCAGAGTTCCAAAATGTAGGCCTAAAAAAGCGCGGTGTCTATGTCGAGAAACGGTCAACTAAGATTAGTTTGGGGGCTGGCGGTAAGTGTGAGTTCAATCTTATCCCAAGACATAGACACGATACGACATTAGATTAAGAATGCTTTAGTCTGATTGCCAATTCCTTGTGTTTAAATGGTTATCACTAATTACACATTTTTTAATATTGCCAATTCCACCCCCGTAGTATGCCGCCTCGATAAAGCTATTATATTTAGCTGTCAAATTCGAGTGATAAACCGGAAAATTTTATCACAAGTGCGAACATGGCGAGCACTGTGTAGTCATATTTTTATGTCATCGCGAGCACCGGCGATTAATGACTGCAAAAGATTAACGCAGTGCCAAACATGGCTGCAAGGTCACAGCTGATTTTAAAACATTTGCACAGTAATTTTATCAAAAATTGAGCGCGACAAACAAGATGAAACGACATTTTTGTTTCGGCAATGATTAAACAACAAAGACAGCTATATACGCAATTTCATATCGTTGTCCTTGTTCTTCAAAATGTATAACAATAGTTCATTATCAAATGAGGAAATTTTGATTTATCAACTGAATGAAATATTGTCACAAGGAGGTTTATCACACATATTCTGCCATGCTACGGCCACTGATGTCCTGAAATTAGTCTATTTCTTTCTCTTATCGCTGCATCGCCTCTTGGGGTAGTGCTTGTAAATCTTTTAAATTACCTTTGAACGAGCCCAGAGGGCGATTCAGGAGGCAAGTTCACGCCCCTTTTAAGTATTCGACTGCTGATGTCTACAAATCCAACAAAGTTCTCACAGTCATGCAGATCTTTTTGGTTTGTTTGCTTCGCGACGCAAAAATATATGACCTCCAGAATTCGTTTCGACAACTACTGCTCAGCAATTCTTTCTTTTCTTAGGTCCTTTCTTATATAACAAAACAAATAATATATCTTCACTTTATGTTCTCTCCATGAACGAATACAAGTTAGAATTGACTAGATATATTTTGCAATTCAACGATGATTATGATGAGACTGAAAATTTGTTTAAAATCGTCAAATAACCTCACGCGTACACACTCACTGTTGCCTTACTAAACCTTCTGTTGGATCCCGGCTGAATACGCCTCAAACGGACCAGACTTGTTGGTTTCTTCTTCAATGAAACTCCCTTATAACTTCCTAATCTTCTGGTTTATTGAAACTTAGGAAAGTGGACTGTATGCATTTCCATATTGTATATAAGTATACTGTATATATAATTGTATGTCCACCTAAGTTACAACAAATCGAATCGTAATATCGAATAAGAATGAAATAGAATCAACGAATCTTACAAGATTGTCTTGTATATATACGGCGTCTCCCACATCGTACCGGCCCTATAAACCCGCCGCGGACGCCGCCCGGCCAATCAGAGCCCCTGATTTATTTACGTAATTCTGCTCATATCTGCTTTGACCGGCCAGGTGCGTAAGGCCGTCCGTAACATCTACCGTGAAAATTACTATACATACCTTGATTTTTATCTTGTGTATTAAAAATTTAGGCCATACAAATATTTCTCCCGATCAAGACAGTCCAGCATGAAAACTGTTTGGCCATGGAGGCAGATAGTTGTTAGTTGAATAGTAAACACGATGGCTATCCGATGACAAGCCCTATTCTTAACTTTTAGCAAAATACTAAACGTACAAAATCCTGCCTTTACACTCTATCGACACACAACTGACATGATTTAAACAGACTTGGGGCCATCGAGCATATAATCAGAAATAGAGAAGAAATAAGGGTCATATATCCCTGGCAACTTATCTGGCAAATGGGTCTTATATCACTTTTAAATATCAACTCTCCTTTGCGCTGAAATCACACATTACAAAAATGATTAGTACCTGTTTGTACGTCTCCGTATATTCCAAAACTATTCTGTATTTATTGTAATAAAGATAATATCGCTTAACAATGAGTGGCTGTTCTGACTCGGGGGTGTGGGAAAAACAGCGAAACATCTAATTGCAAAACAAACGGAATCATATTTTATAGGTAATTAAATATCAAATATGAAATTTTGTATTTATCGCCTATTATAGCAAACCTCAAGTCAAACTGGTCGATGGAAGTGAAACAATTGGAGCGTAGTTGTCAGAGTAATGATTTGGCAGAATAGTATTCAAACATATTAAACGACATTTCGTCTCTATTTCTGGTTATATACTCGATGCTTGGTACACTGTAATTTGCGATAATCATTTAGTCAATAATAAAAAAACTGCACTGTGTAGAGAGAGAGAGATCTCTCTTTGAATTTCCTATAGTTTTAATTTCTGCTTTACACGATCAAATTCACGTGTATTTTTATTTCTTATATTTCTGATGCGTTCTTAACACGATATATTGTTTCTAAAGATAGACAAATTTGATTTGAATTCTAAAATTGTGACGCTAGTATATTCCTTTGAAATCAATGGCGAATCAACAACAAGTAGTATGTACGAAGCTTGGGAAAATATCGCACACTGAGAATGACAGTGACACAATGCAACATTTTTGATTTTGAGCAACATTGACTTACAAATAAATGGACGACGGGTCTAATACAAAAACCACGAAAAAAATGTCCCAAGTCAACCTATTCGAAATTTAAATTGTAATGTCATCGCAGTATCGCGCTGTCAGTAGAACAAATGAAGACTAAAGCGGAGTGTCGCGCTCTGTATACGATTTTAGCGCCTTACAAGTGCGGACACTTTTTAGCGCGAACCCGACGTCCATATAATTGTAAGTCAATGTTGAGCAATGAGCAATTTACGTTCTGAAACTTGTAATAACTGTAATTTCTTATTCAACGAACATTTTTGAATGTGGTTTTCAGCTAAAATAAAAAGGAACCTAGATAGTTTTAGAAGTATTTTGTATTTTCACCTATAACGATAAAATAAAGGCATTTTTGAGAATTTTGTTTAGTATCACTATTCTTCATAATCTTTTCATGTCAAACAAAACAAATTGTGCCATGAAATTTAACTTTAAACATCGAAAATAAAAGGATAAATTATTCGATAACTTATCCACTAACCAGCGTAGATCAGCAATCCTGTACTATATTAGTCTTAATGCAAAACGACACCATCCATCCAAAAAATTATATCCTGCACGGAGTTACTAGTAAATTGTTTCACAACTCAGCTATCTCTGTCACTACCAAAAATAAGTCAGTACCGCGCTGTCATATATGAATTACGTCATGTAGCAAAATCTAGGCAAACAACGTACACGGGGGTTTTTGCATTACAAATTCGTACTCTCAAACACAGGATGACGTTAAAAAAACTTGTTTTATGTGTAGTAACCATTGACTTACAATTATATGGACGTCAGGTCCGCGCTAAAAAGTGTC